TATTCTTTTATTCTCGTAATAAATTAAATCTCTAAATATAATTAAAATTACAAGTATAGTTTACTATATTGTCGCACTCATTTTAACTCTTACCAAAAACACAATCATGATTGAAAGCCTGCTCTGTTAATTTTGTTAATTTATTTTTCATAATTTTATTTTATTTTATTTAATATTTAAATATTTTATAAATTAATGTGTTTGATTAAATAAATTAAAAAAATTATAAATTGTTAATAAGTAAATTTTAAATCCAACTCAAGTTCACATAATCAAAATCAATTTTAATTAAGGTTTGTGTATTTATTATAAGTTAATTTTATTTTTAATCGATAAAATTTTTTAATATATTCTCTCACACTCAAAATATATATATATCAAGTATGAGATGATACTTTATGTGAAATAGTAAATCTTATAAAATAACAAATTTTAATACTAATTCATATGAGGTTTATATTTACTTATATAATGTAAAACTAACCTTATGTGTAGTGTATATTATTGCATATTTATTATATATACTTTTAATCATTATTGCATAGTTATTACATATACTTCTAACCATTATTGTATATTTATGTGTTTCAAATAATATAATAAAAATTTAACTTTTAATTTTAAAAGAAATAGTTGATAAATAAGTTGGTTCCACCTCTAACTTACCAACTTTGTAAATCAAATGAGATGAACAAAAACTAATTAGTAAACTAAAATACCAACTCAACTCGTTATCTAATTTGCATTAACTTTAGATAATTGTTTGTTTAAAAGTATCCTTATTTATGTTTTAAAAATGTTTATGTTAGTACTTTTGAATTAAACATTTTAATTAGGTTAACTAATAGACAAATAAACTCTCTAAATTTATTTAATATTCTGTTTTAAAAAAAGAAGTTAGCAACTTTTAAAGATAAAATATTATATTAAGGCTTTTAAAATCTAAAATGTTGGAAAGTAAAATCACAAAAACATACAAAATTAAAAGTAACATTTAATCTAAAAAATATGGACGACTGTAATTTATAGTTTTTTAATATAAGGATTAAAATACAAATTTTCGATATAAAAACATAAATAATTATAGGGATTAAATAAATAATTTTTTTTAAATGTTAAATAAAGTACTAAGGTGATACTAATGCAAACGGCCTTAAATCAAAACTTCAATCTTGAAATTAGAATTTTTTGTTAAAATTCTTCTTATATCCCCTTTATGATTTTCTGAAAGAGAGGGATCAAAAGCTATGATAAAAAAGGGAAAAAAGTCAACAGATCCAAAATCAAAATTCATGTAATTATAGAGTAATTAAAGAAGTTTGGTATTTGGATCACGTAGAGACAACTACAAAATAACAAAACAAAAGAAATGCTGTCATGTTGAATAGATTAGCAGAATGAGTTGACCATTACTCATTCACAGAATTTGGAAGTGGCATTCTGAACCAAACAAACAACGTTCTTTCTTCCCTCTCACTATCCCAACGAGAATAAAAATTTGATTTTTAATCCGTTTCTATTTCACCGGCACCTTCTACTTCTTGTTCTGACGCAGGGAAAGATGGCGATGTTATGTTGCTGATTTGTGAAAAATTTATTGGTAAAGATGGCGTGGAGAAAAGGGTGTGAAGAAGTGGCCAATTCGAAGCCTCTGTTCCTCACGATCTACACTGTTGTCATCGTTGGCATCGTGGTTTCCTCCTTCTACGTCTTCTCTTCTATATACTCCAGCAACCCATCTGCTGCTCAATCTTCTGCATGGCTCTCTTCAATTTCGAGTATGTGTTTCCGTAAAAATCTCGCCTTTTCTTGTTCTACACTAGTTTTAGTTTCATTTTCAAATGCTCATTTAAACTATAATCGCTGTTATTGCTTAGATATGATATTTACATTTTTATGTTACAGTAGAGAAAGGTAGTGGTGGTGGGATGTTAGAATGTGTTTGGGTTTTGGAGCATCAGATAAATCCTTAAATCTTAGCTTGTTCTTCTGGAAGTACATAATTCCTGTTAGAAAAGTAAAGTTAAGATACATGTTTTGGTTATGTGAGATGTGAATTCTATTGGCAGTTTAATGGTAGTGCCTGTGTAGGACACTTTTTATGTATTTAAAGCCGTGATTTCTTCTATTATATGTGTGTGCTAGATAAATTGAAACCTAGTTGATAATGGCTTTGCAGGTGAGGATACTACTCGTGTTACGGATCAAACACAAAATGTTTCTCGGTCAGCTACGGTGCCTATTGTGCCCACGCCTTTCTCAGGGGCACAAAATGAAAGGCCAAGGTCTATATGGGATATTCCACCGACCAATAAAAGGATGCCACCATTGTCAGATTTCCGGCTGACGAAGGCGCTGGTTCAGCAAAGGGTGAAAGATAATGTGGTAATTGTGACCTTTGGAAACTACGCGTTCATGGATTTTATTCTGACGTGGGTTAAACAATTGAGAAATCTGGAAGTTTCTAATTTTCTTGTTGGTGAGCAGCTATGTTTAAGCCTTGTTTTTTCTGTCTTGTAAATGCACTGGTGATGTCTTGATACAAACGCATTTCCACTATTTTGTACCATTGATTGTTTGAGTTTTGAAACCTGCTGCTTAGGTGCAATGGATACCAAATTATTGGAGGCACTGTATTGGAAAGGGATACCGGTTTTTGACATGGGCAGCCATATGAGCACAGTAGATGTTGGATGGGGGTCTCCAACATTTCACAAAATGGGGAGAGAAAAAGTTATTCTGATCGACTCAATTCTTCCTTTTGGATTCGAGCTGTTGATGTGTGATACTGACATGGTTTGGTTGAAGGTGACATTCATTTTTATATATACTCTTTCATGAGTCAATTTGTTTTAATTATAATAATGGTTCATATTCTAGCTTAGATTTTGATTAATGATCCAAGATAAGCCGTAAATTTCTATTAGTTATGACACTTTCATTCTCCATAGTGAATGAAATATAGTTATCAGAGATTTTGTTCAGTTTCTTGTGGAGCTGGCTTACGGTATTTAAATTCAATAATTCCCATAGCATCATTTGCTTTTACCATCTACCTCTATTTTTCCATGTAATTATTATGTTTTCTTATAACCTTTTACATTCATTAAGCACAACCATCTTTTACAATATCTCCAAGCCAATGATGTGATTGTTGTAATTTATTCCCATTACGTATGTTCAATTGTGTTATTGTTAAACAGAACCCGCTTCCATATCTTGCTCGTTATCCAGAAGCAGACATTTTGACTTCAAGTGATCAAGTTATACCAACAGTTGTTGATGATAGTTTGGAAGTTTGGCAAGAAGGTGAATTTTTTTTTTAGGATGAAAGGTGGATATTAAGTATTTATAATCTTTGAGAAATGTTATAAAGCATATAATGTAAATACTACTCTTATTAATAAAAAAAACTATGCATTATTTCAAAGTGTTTCTTATGCCTATATGATTATAATTACATTTGTATATATATAAATCCACTCTCAATTTCATACTTAGTATTTATATATTCTTTTATTCTCGTAATAAATTAAATCTCTAAATATAATTAAAATTACAAGTATAGTTTACTATATTGTCCCACTCATTTTAACTCTTACCAAAAACACAATCATGATTGAAAGTATGCTCTGTTAATTTTGTTAATTTATTTTTCATAATTTTATTTTATTTTATTTAATATGTAAATATTTTATAAATTAATGTGTTTGATTAAATAAATTAAAAAAATTATAAATTTTTAATAAGTAAATTTTAAATCCAACTCAAGTTCACATAATCAAAATCAATTTTAATTAAGGTTTGTATATTTATTATAAATTAATTTTACTTTTAATCGATGAAAATTTTTAATATATTCTCTCACAGTCAAAATATATATATCAAGTATGAGATAATACACTAATGAGTAGTTTAATATTATGTGAGATAATAAATCTTATAAAATAACAAATTTTAAGTCTAATTCATGAAGTTTACATTTACTTATATAATGTAAAATTAACCTTATGTGTAGTGTATATTATTGCATATTTATTATATATACTTTTAATCATTATTGCATAGTTATTACATATACTTCTAACCATTATTGTATATTTATGTGTTTCAAATAATATAATAAAAATTTAACTTTTAATTTTAAAAGAAATAGTTGATAAATAAGTTGGTTCCACCTCTAACTTACCAACTTTGTAAATCAAATGAGATGAACAAAAACTAATTAGTAAACTAAAATACCAACTCAACTCGTTATCTAATTTGCATTAACTTTAGATAATTGTTTGTTTAAAAGTATCCTTATTTATGTTTTAAAAATGTTTATGTTAGTACTTTTGAATTAAACATTTTAATTAGGTTAACTAATAGACAAATAAACTCTCTAAATTTATTTACTATTCTGTTTAAAAAAAAGAAGTTAGCAACTTTTAAAGATAAAATATTATATTAAGGCTTTTAAAATCTAAAATGTTGGAAAGTAAAATCACAAAAACATACAAAATTAAAAGTAACATTTAATCTAAAAAATATGGACGACTGTAATTTATAGTTTTTTAATATAAGGATTAAAATACAAATTTTCGATATAAAAACATAAATAATTATAGGGATTAAATAAATAATTTTTTTTAAATGTTAAATAAAGTACTAAGGTGATACTAATGCAAACGGCCTTAAATCAAAACTTCAATCTTGAAATTAGAATTTTGTGTTAAAATTCTTCTTATATCCCCTTTATGATTTTCTGAAAGAGAGGGATCAAAAGCTATGATAAAAAAGGGAAAAAAGTCAACAGATCCAAAATCAAAATTCATGTAATTATAGAGTAATTAAAGAAGTTTGGTATTTGGATCACGTAGAGACAACTACAAAATAACAAAACAAAAGAAATGCTGTCATGTTGAATAGATTAGCAGAATGAGTTGACCATTACTCATTCACAGAATTTGGAAGTGGCATTCTGAACCAAACAAACAACGTTCTTTCTTCCCTCTCACTATCCCAACGAGAATAAAAATTTGATTTTTAATCCGTTTCTATTTCACCGGCACCTTCTACTTCTTGTTCTGACGCAGGGAAAGATGGCGATGTTATGTTGCTGATTTGTGAAAAATTTATTGGTAAAGATGGCGTGGAGAAAAGGGTGTGAAGAAGTGGCCAATTCGAAGCCTCTGTTCCTCACGATCTACACTGTTGTCATCGTTGGCATCGTGGTTTCCTCCTTCTACGTCTTCTCTTCTATATACTCCAGCAACCCATCTGCTGCTCAATCTTCTGCATGGCTCTCTTCAATTTCGAGTATGTGTTTCCGTAAAAATCTCGCCTTTTCTTGTTCTACACTAGTTTTAGTTTCATTTTCAAATGCTCATTTAAACTATAATCGCTGTTATTGCTTAGATATGATATTTACATTTTTATGTTACAGTAGAGAAAGGTAGTGGTGGTGGGATGTTAGAATGTGTTTGGGTTTTGGAGCATCAGATAAATCCTTAAATCTAAGCTTGTTCTTCTGGAAGTACATAATTCCTGTTAGAAAAGTAAAGTTAAGATACATGTTTTGGTTATGTGAGATGTGAATTCTATTGGCAGTTTAATGGTAGTGCCTGTGTAGGACACTTTTTATGTATTTAAAGCCGTGATTTCTTCTATTATATGTGTGTGCTAGATAAATTGAAACCTAGTTGATAATGGCTTTGCAGGTGAGGATACTACTCGTGTTACGGATCAAACACAAAATGTTTCTCGGTCAGCTACGGTGCCTATTGTGCCCACGCCTTTCTCAGGGGCACAAAATGAAAGGCCAAGGTCTATATGGGATATTCCACCGACCAATAAAAGGATGCCACCATTGTCAGATTTCCGGCTGACGAAGGCGCTGGTTCAGCAAAGGGTGAAAGATAATGTGGTAATTGTGACCTTTGGAAACTACGCGTTCATGGATTTTATTCTGACGTGGGTTAAACAATTGAGAAATCTGGAAGTTTCTAATTTTCTTGTTGGTGAGCAGCTATGTTTAAGCCTTGTTTTTTCTGTCTTGTAAATGCACTGGTGATGTCTTGATACAAACGCATTTCCACTATTTTGTACCATTGATTGTTTGAGTTTTGAAACCTGCTGCTTAGGTGCAATGGATACCAAATTATTGGAGGCACTGTATTGGAAAGGGATACCGGTTTTTGACATGGGCAGCCATATGAGCACAGTAGATGTTGGATGGGGGTCTCCAACATTTCACAAAATGGGGAGAGAAAAAGTTATTCTGATCGACTCAATTCTTCCTTTTGGATTCGAGCTGTTGATGTGTGATACTGACATGGTTTGGTTGAAGGTGACATTCATTTTTATATATACTCTTTCATGAGTCAATTTGTTTTAATTATAATAATGGTTCATATTCTAGCTTAGATTTTGATTAATGATCCAAGATAAGCCGTAAATTTCTATTAGTTATGACACTTTCATTCTCCATAGTGAATGAAATATAGTTATCAGAGATTTTGTTCAGTTTCTTGTGGAGCTGGCTTACGGTATTTAAATTCAATAATTCCCATAGCATCATTTGCTTTTACCATCTACCTCTATTTTTCCATGTAATTATTATGTTTTCTTATAACCTTTTACATTCATTAAGCACAACCATCTTTTACAATATCTCCAAGCCAATGATGTGATTGTTGTAATTTATTCCCATTACGTATGTTCAATTGTGTTATTGTTAAACAGAACCCGCTTCCATATCTTGCTCGTTATCCAGAAGCAGACATTTTGACTTCAAGTGATCAAGTTATACCAACAGTTGTTGATGATAGTTTGGAAGTTTGGCAAGAAGGTGAATATTAACTTACTGCTATTATTTCTACTGTAGTTATGTTGTTTCTTTAGCATAGTTTTTCGCTTCAATGTAACTATGTTTAATGGTGTCGTGTGCTCTATATTGCCGACCTCACCTGGTGGATAAGGCTTTATTGTTTTTGTTGTATTGATCATGTAACCAAGCATTTGCCAGTAAAATGGCATCTATAGACATACAAATTATTCTTTTTTGATTGATAGTCACCTTTTATTTCAATAAAAACAGTTCTGAGGCATCACTTTAGACATTAGAGTGCCTTGTTTTTCATAAGTTTGGCATGGCTTTAGATTTGAAGTAAGCAAATTGAATTTAACACAACTATTGGCAAGTCACAACATGGATTCTTTCCCCTTGTTATTGTTATTGATCTTTCCTGTTCATAAAGATAAAATCATTTTGATGGAAGCTCACGTTGTGTAACTTGTTCTTCCTCTTAACCAACTTATAAAATTAAATTGCATAGTTTGAAGCAAGTTTTTCTCTCCCTGGTTATGTTGTTTTAGAATCAGTGTAACTGATCCTTTGCCATTACTTATTGCTATTCTCTATCTCTGATGTATTATACATGTTTCACTTGTTATTTTGACTGTGTTGATGATATTTTTATCACTTTTAATAGTTAGTGGTGCCTACAACATTGGAATTTTCCATTGGAGACCAACAGAGTCTGCCAAAAAATTGGCAAAGCAATGGAAGGAAATGCTTTTAGCTGATGACAAGATATGGGATCAGAATGGGTTTAATGATATTCTTCACAAACAGTTAGGTCCATCTGTTGATGATGAAAGTAGACTTGTTTTTGTTTTTGATGGAAAACTGAAGATGGGGATTTTGCCTGCGAGTATCTTCTGTAGTGGACATACATATTTTGTCCAGGTAGGGTTTGTTATGCTAACAATTTTCAACTGTTTGAAGTACTTAGTTCTGATTTTTTATGTGGTATAGCGTTGTTTTCATCTTCACATCTAAATACATTGAGGAGTCTAGATAGGACTAGAGAAAAATTTGTATACCTTTCTATTTAATTTACATATTACGGTTACAGGCTATGTACCAGCAACTAAGGTTGGAGCCATATGCAGTGCACACAACATTTCAATATGGTGGAACTGAAGGAAAGCGCCATCGTCTACGAGAAGCCATGCTCTTCCTTGATCCACCAGAATACTATAATCCTCCTGGTGATTAGTTGTTGTTCCTCATTCCATTTTGCATGCAGACGTTCACTTAAATAATATTTTTTGAATGCACTTGTGTAAAATATACTCATTTCACTATTTGTCTCTACTCTATCTGCATTTAAGTTAACATCACTTTATGATGCTGAATTTGGAAAGTGTTATGCTTTGACATATGAAGGAATTGTTACAGTTTCCCCTTCTGATTGATTAGTCAACTCTGTTTCATGAAATTACTGCAACATAATTTTTAAAAGAACTTTTGCAGGGGGGTTCTTGTCATTTAAGCCTTATATTCCAAAACGCTTGATGCTAAGTGGGGAGCATAATGTTGAATCACATTTTACTCTTGTCAATTACCAAGTATGTATGTATCCACCTGAACATGTTTTCTACAGTTATGCAAATTATTTGTGTTTTAATATGTGTTGCGCATTATTTTTCCAGATTAAACAGATTAGGACAGCACTTGCAATTGCTTCCCTTTTGAACAGAACACTGGTAAGAACTAATTTTTGGGTTCCTACACACTTCTTTATGAATCCTATTAAGTTATAAACCACTAACATTTAGATGAAAGATGGACTGCACTCTGTTTTTTTGGGCTAGTTCTTAATAAATATGTTTTACAGTCCAAAAGAATCTTGTTTATATTAGACTAAAGAAATAGCTTGTTACTTTAATATGCTGGGCAGTGTAATTTCGTTATTTGCTTAATATAGACCAAAAGTGTGGCATCATGTGATTTATGTAACTAACCTCACCTAGTGCGATAAGATTGTTGTTGTTTAATATAAACAAAAAACGTGTAAATCAGATTTATGTTGTATACTTCCACAAATTTAAGATGTGTTGCATATTGAAAGCATACATTCATTTCACATACAATCATTATTGTGATGAGCACTAGTTTCTACTTAGTGTCCTACATGTCCCATTATATTTTTGCATAGGTATTCATGTTATACTGTTCTAGATTCTGGAAAATTGTTTTTATTCATGGGGAATTGTGTTTATGATAGCTAAGAAGGCAGGCTTGTTTGGTATCTCGTCTCTATCCTAGGGAGTTACATTTTCTGATTATTGCTCTCAAATGTTAGTTGAAAAATTATAAACAAAGATGCTGATAGCATTTTGCCAAAATCTAGTCTTCAACTTAGATTATAACTGTATTTTGTCATACTTTGATTGAGTTGAAGGTGCTCCATTCTTATTGCCATTATTGGTAAAGTCGTGAGTATAATTTATAACTATTATTACAGCATTTAATATCATATCTTTTCCATGATTCCTAGGTGCTTTTCCTTTCCGTTTGTTAATATTTTTCTTTCCAATTATTCAGTGAGTGGAAAATAACTGCTAGCATCATTCTGTTACTTGATTCTTCTCTCCCCCTTCTAATTAGTAACATTCCTGGAAAAGCTGCTATCCAAAATATAATATTGAAATACATTACACTATGAGCTAACATGTTGCATGGTTTATATAACTGGTTTTGCATTTCAGTTTTGGTTGAAAATGTTTTCTGATAAGACTGTTTTAATTGAAATATGCACCTGGCTAAGGTGAATTAGCTACTGTGGGTATTCTTAGTTTTTATAATCGATGTTTCTTTTTTTGTTGCTATTTTTACTTGATATATTCTATATTTGTATCTTAAATTAGATTCTTTTTGTTTAGGTGATGCCTCCACTATGGTGCAGGATTGATCGGCTATGGTATGGCCATCCTGGTATATTGGAAGGGTCCATGACTAGACAACCTTTTCTCTGTCCTTTGGACCATGTATTTGAGGTATTTACTGTTAAGTGATTCCTTATTATTTTATTGTTCAATTGTCAAATGGATTTGGAACTGGAAGATTAAATCATCTAATTACATTTGGGTCCTCAGAGCAATGGTTTTACAAATTTTAATAGTATCATTTAAAGTAAATTAGAAAGGTCTATGGCATAAGTGACTATACTTTCTTCAGCTGTGAATGTTGTACACAATGAGCAATATGTTTCTTATTATTGAGGCCTCAAACCGTTGGGAAATGGGGATAATTGGTACCACCAATAGACTTCATCAACAAAACACAAATAGAAAGGTAAAAATTCATAGGGTTTATGGACTGTTCTGTTGATCTGCTGGTCAATGAGAGATAATTGAAGATTGTCATAGTTGCAGCTGTAGTAATTAAAAATATAAGAAACATAAACACAGGTGGAAGTGAAAGATAATGATTGAAGTTCAAACTAGTATTTCATTTAATATCTGTGCAAAAGTTTTTTTGTTATTTTCCTTCTAGTAATGTTTTGAAAGTAGCCCTCAAATCGCACAGGAAGTAACTTAAGAAGAATAGTTGAACCTAAAATTAATTGAAATTCAATTGACAGAGATATTATAATTAGTGTCAGTTTCTGCTGTATGATATTGAATAAACGCGAATAGCCTCTGGTGGGAGTAGAACATTTTATACGTTACTTCCTAATGCTACTATGTAAATGCATTCTACTGTAGGTCAATGTCATGCTGAAAAAGCTCTCTGAAGAAGAGTTTGGTCCTCAAATAGATTTTAGAGAGTACTCAATACTTGATAACCCCTCTCTGCCATCAGAGGTAATAAAAGTCAATTACATCCATTTTAAGCCATGATTCTTGTTCCTTGATCTATGTCACTTTGTTTAAACTTATTTACCTTGCTTCTTGAGTTCAGGTAGAAAGGTCATGGCTTGATGTTCAGCTCTGTAAAGAAGGAACTGTAGGCTGTGATGTCTCAAATGATACCACCAGTGTAGGGGGAATACTTAAATTTCCAAAGCACAGCAATGAAGAAACGGTATCTGATTATATGTCATTATATCTATTTAATACCCACTTATGTTAACATTTTTCTAAATCAACCCCATAAACTACACTGATATGATTATATAGAATGTCCAAATGATCATGTCATATTATCATATCTATCCATTTAACACGGTTGTTTCTACATGCACTTACAGTTTATGAAAGTATTCTCATCATTCAAGGATATAAAAGTAATCAAGTTCTCTTCAGTTCAAGATGCTTTCCAAGGTTTCACTGACAAGGCAAGGAAATTTTTCTTTTTCCACGTGAAGTTTTACTTTTTTGAGTTAACCCAAAGTAACAAAACTGATACCATGCATTGATTTTCCAGGAAAGGGAAGATAAATTCAGAAATCGTGTTAAGCGGTATGTGGGCATATGGTGCTGTGTGCCAGATCAAAGCCTTGGCCACATATATTATGATATGTACTGGGATGAGAAACCAGGATGGAAAGCAATTCCTCCTCAAACTTCCCAGGATGATCATCCCCCTTGGTAAGATTAACATATGGTTATGTTTATTATGCCACTACAATGGATGGGGGAAATAAGAGACATAAATCCAAAGGAGATTTAGTTTCCAGCTAATTGTGAAAACCAAGATAGAATGCATACAAGTGAGGAATCTGTATCCATACTGAGGATGTAAGATATTCAGAGACTAGACAATTGGTTCTTGTAACATTTAAGAATTTTTTGGTTTGTACAATGATACTAATATTGCACCTGGAGAAATGGAGGCCCATAAATTTCTCAGAGGCTTTCACATTTTGGTCTGTGATGTTCTTGTTGTTATCATTGTATTGGCTGTAAGTAAATACTGGAGACATTCAATTGTATTGTTGTTGTTCTTTTCTACATTATTTTATTTCTGAACTGAAATAAGTAATGTTTGTTTTTCTGCTGTCCAATGAACAGTGCTTAGTAATTTTGTTTTTGTTAATTCGTATTCTCCTGTCATTGAACAGAACAGACTAGGCATTAATTTGTCTATGTATTTTTCTTTCTGCGACAACTTTTATCAGATAGTTGAAGAATTGAAAAACGTTATGTAAAAAATATACTTTTATCAGATCTTCAAATGGTTTCTACGGGAGGTGCCAATAGAAGCAAAAGTAAGAAGTTTACAACATTCTTTCTTTTTTATTAACTTGATTGCAAATGATTTATAACTTAATAATATTTATGAACAGTATATAATGTATAAAATATACTAACAACTCTTTTCTCCTGTTTTCACTAGGGATGACAACGGGTCGCGTAGAGCATGGATAGTGTCTATCTACAACTCGATCCGACAAAAGAAAATCCACCCGCTACTCGATCCATATCCGCACTGATACTCGTAGATATTTTAAAATTTACGGATATTTGTGATACCGCATATACCCTCAAATATTTAAAAAGATATATTTTTATAAAATATTATAATAAAACTTAAATAAAATTACAAAAAATATAATATATATTAAATTAATATAAATTAAAATTTAATTTTAATTATATTTAACTTTATAAATATAAATTAATGTTAATTTTAATTAAATTTAACTTGATAAATATAAATTATTTTTTTTTTTCGGTAGCAGATATCTACGGATATAAATAGTATAATATTCATACCCGACTCATTTATAAGCGGATATTAAAAAATCCCCGCTATTCGCAACTCACGGATAGTAAATATATGCGGGTACCCATGAATTTTATCCGTGAATGCAGATTTTTTTTCATCTTTCACTCTTTTATTTTATTTNCTTGTGTAAAATATACTCATTTCACTATTTGTCTCTACTCTATCTGCATTTAAGTTAACATCACACTATGATGCTGAATTTGGAAAGTGTTATGCTTTGACATATGAAGGAATTGTTACAGTTTCCCCTTCTGATTGATTAGTCAACTCTGTTTCATGAAATTACTGCAACATAATTTTTAAAAGAACTTTTGCAGGGGGGTTCTTGTCATTTAAGCCTTATATTCCAAAACGCTTGATGCTAAGTGGGGAGCATAATGTTGAATCACATTTTACTCTTGTCAATTACCAAGTATGTATGTATCCACCTGAACATGTTTTCTACAGTTATGCAAATTATTTGTGTTTTAATATGTGTTGCGCATTATTTTTCCAGATTAAACAGATTAGGACAGCACTTGCAATTGCTTCCCTTTTGAACAGAACACTGGTAAGAACTAATTTTTGGGTTCCTACACACTTCTTTATGAATCCTATTAAGTTATAAACCACTAACATTTAGATGAAAGATGGACTGCACTCTGTTTTTTTGGGCTAGTTCTTAATAAATATGTTTTACAGTCCAAAAGAATCTTGTTTATATTAGACTAAAGAAATAGCTTGTTACTTTAATATGCTGGGCAGTGTAATTTCGTTATTTGCTTAATATAGACCAAAAGTGTGGCATCATGTGATTTATGTAACTAACCTCACCTAGTGCGATAAGATTGTTGTTGTTTAATATAAACAAAAAACGTGTAAATCAGATTTATGTTGTATACTTCCACAAATTTAAGATGTGTTGCATATTGAAAGCATACATTCATTTCACATACAATCATTATTGTGATGAGCACTAGTTTCTACTTAGTGTCCTACATGTCCCATTATATTTTTGCATAGGTATTCATGTTATACTGTTCTAGATTCTGGAAAATTGTTTTTATTCATGGGGAATTGTGTTTATGATAGCTAAGAAGGCAGGCTTGTTTGGTATCTCGTCTCTATCCTAGGGAGTTACATTTTCTGATTATTGCTCTCAAATGTTAGTTGAAAAATTATAAACAAAGATGCTGATAGCATTTTGCCAAAATCTAGTCTTCAACTTAGATTATAACTGTATTTTGTCATACTTTGATTGAGTTGAAGGTGCTCCATTCTTATTGCCATTATTGGTAAAGTCGTGAGTATAATTTATAACTATTATTACAGCATTTAATATCATATCTTTTCCATGATTCCTAGGTGCTTTTCCTTTCCGTTTGTTAATATTTTTCTTTCCAATTATTCAGTGAGTGGAAAATAACTGCTAGCATCATTCTGTTACTAGATTCTTCTCTCCCCCTTCTAATTAGTAACATTCCTGGAAAAGCTGCTATCCAAAATATAATATTGAAATACATTACACTATGAGCTAACATGTTGCATGGTTTATATAACTGGTTTTGCATTTCAGTTTTGGTTGAAAATGTTTTCTGATAAGACTGTTTTAATTGAAATATGCACCTGGCTAAGGTGAATTAGCTACTGTGGGTATTCTTAGTTTTTATAATCGATGTTTCTTTTTTTGTTGCTATTTTTACTTGATATATTCTATATTTGTATCTTAAATTAGATTCTTTTTGTTTAGGTGATGCCTCCACTATGGTGCAGGATTGATCGGCTATGGTATGGCCATCCTGGTATATTGGAAGGGTCCATGACTAGACAACCTTTTCTCTGTCCTTTGGACCATGTATTTGAGGTATTTACTGTTAAGTGATTCCTTATTATTTTATTGTTCAATTGTCAAATGGATTTGGAACTGGAAGATTAAATCATCTAAATACATTTGGGTCCTCAGAGCAATGGTTTTACAAATTTTAATAGTATCATTTAAAGTAAATTAGAAAGGTCTATGGCATAAGTGACTATACTTTCTTCAGCTGTGAATGTTGTACACAATGAGCAACATGTTTCTTATTATTGAGGCCTCAAACCGTTGGGAAATGGGGATAATTGGTACCACCAATAGACTTCATCAACAAAACACAAATAGAAAGGTAAAAATTCATAGGGTTTATGGACTGTTCTGTTGATCTGCTGGTCAATGAGAGATAATTGAAGATTGTCATAGTTGCAGCTGTAGTAATTAAAAATATAAGAAACATAAACACAGGTGGAAGTGAAAGATAATGATTGAAGTTCAAACTAGTATTTCATTTAATATCTGTGCAAAAGTTTTTTTGTTATTTTCCTTCTAGTAATGTTTTGAAAGTAGCCCTCAAATCGCACAGGAAGTAACTTAAGAAGAATAGTTGAACCTAAAATTAATTGAAATTCAATTGACAGAGATATTATAATTAGTGTCAGTTTCTGCTGTATGATATTGAATAAACGCGAATAGCCTCTGGTGGGAGTAGAACATTTTATACGTTACTTCCTAATGCTACTATGTAAATGCATTCTACTGTAGGTCAATGTCATGCTGAAAAAGCTCTCTGAAGAAGAGTTTGGTCCTCAAATAGATTTTAGAGAGTACTCAATACTTGATAACCCCTCTCTGCCATCAGAGGTAATAAAAGTCAATTACATCCATTTTAAGCCATGATTCTTGTTCCTTGATCTATGTCACTTTGTTTAAACTTATTTACCTTGCTTCTTGAGTTCAGGTAGAAAGGTCATGGCTTGATGTTCAGCTCTGTAAAGAAGGAACAGTAGGCTGTGATGTCTCAAATGATACCACCAGTGTAGGGGGAATACTTAAATTTCCAAAGCACAGCAATGAAGAAACGGTATCTGATTATATGTCATTACATCTATTTAATACCCACTTATGTTAACATTTTTCTAAATCAACCCCATAAACTACACTGATATGATTATATAGAATGTCCAAATGATCATGTCATATTATCATATCTATCCATTTAACACGGTTGTTTCTACATGCACTTACAGTTTATGAAAGTATTCTCATCATTCAAGGATATAAAAGTAATCAAGTTCTCTTCAGTTCAAGATGCTTTCCAAGGTTTCACTGACAAGGCAAGGAAATTTTTCTTTTTCCACGTGAAGTTTTACTTTTTTGAGTTAACCCAAAGTAACAAAACTGATACCATGCATTGATTTTCCAGGAAAGGGAAGATAAATTCAGAAATCGTGTTAAGCGGTATGTGGGCATATGGTGCTGTGTGCCAGATCAAAGCCTTGGCCACATATATTATGATATGTACTGGGATGAGAAACCAGGATGGAAAGCAATTCCTCCTCAAACTTCCCAGGATGATCATCCCCCTTGGTAAGATTAACATATGGTTATGTTTATTATGCCACTACAATGGATGGGGGAAATAAGAGACATAAATCCAAAGGAGATTTAGTTTCCAGCTAATTGTGAAAACCAAGATAGAATGCATACAAGTGAGGAATCTGTATCCATACTGAGGATGTAAGATATTCAGAGACTAGACAATTGGTTCTTGTAACATTTAAGAATTTTTTGGTTTGTACAATGATACTAATATTGCACCTGGAGAAATGGAGGCCCATAAATTTCTCAGAGGCTTTCACATTTTGGTCTGTGATGTTCTTGTTGTTATCATTGTATTGGCTGTAAGTAAATACTGGAGACATTCAATTGTATTGTTGTTGTTCTTTTCTACATTATTTTATTTCTGAACTGAAATAAGTAATGTTTGTTTTTCTGCTGTCCAATGAACAGTGCTTAGTAATTTTGTTTTTGTTAATTCGTATTCTCCTGTCATTGAACAGAACAGACTAGGCATTAATTTGTCTATGTATTTTTCTTTCTGCGACAACTTTTATCAGATAGTGGAAGAATTGAAAAACGTTATGAAAAAAATATACTTTTATCAGATCTTCAAATGGTCTCTACGGGAGGTGCCAATAGAAGCAAAAGTAAGAAGTTTACAACATTCTTTCTTTTTTATTAACTTGATTGCAAATGATTTATAACTTAATAATATTTATGAACAGTATATAATGTATAAAATATACTAACAACTCTTTTCTCCTGTTTTCACTAGGGATGACAACGGGTCGCGTAGAGCATGGATAGTGTCTATCTACAACTCGATCCGACAAAAGAAAATCCACCCGCTACTCGATCCATATCCGCACTGATACTCGTAGATATTTTAAAATTTACGGATATTTGTGATACCGCATATACCCTCAAATATTTAAAAAGATATATTTTTATAAAATATTATAATAAAACTTAAATAAAATTACAAAAAATATAATATATATTAAATTAATATAAATTAAAATTTAATTTTAATTATATTTAACTTTATAAATATAAATTAATGTTAATTTTAATTAAATTTAACTTGATAAATATAAATTATTTTTTTTTTTCGGTAGCAGATATCTACGGATATAAATAGTATAATATTCATACCCGACTCATTTATAAGCGGATATTAAAAAATCCCCGCTATTCGCAACTCACGGATAGTAAATATATGCGGGTACCCATGAATTTTATCCGTGAATGCAGATTTTTTTTCATCTTTCACTCTTTTATTTTATTTTCTTTTATTTTATTTACATTATTTATTGTAAATTGTTCTTAATACTTGTTAAAATTTTACACGTATAAGAAAAAAAACGTATAAAAAATACACTTAATACTTGTTATATGTTTTTGTAGTGTGACTATTGTCGTGACACAATTTAAAAATATATTGTTTAGTGAGCAATAAAATTCATTTTATTCAACATGATTAATAAAATATTTCTCTAATTAACATGATTAATTTTAAGTTTTTAAAAAATATATTTAGTTTGAATTCTATTTAAATATTTTTTATTATTATTTGAAACAAATACTAATATTATTGTGCTACGGACATTTAAATTTTTATTTTTTATTTTGTAAAAATATTAATCGGTTAAGTACGCGCGGCGGAGACATTTTCTATTTAAAAGCGACGGGACTAAATCTTGAAAGCTCTTATGTAATAATAATAAAAGATTAAGATAAAAAAGTTACTTGATTTTCTCAACTATTTAGATGTCACCTTTAGCTTGAAAAATCTGGTAAGTAGGATAAATTATACTCCTTTTAGGGAAATACATAAATTATATTATTCCACTCCTCTAATTTTTAAAGTTACGTTTCTTTATATTTTCAATTCCGTGCTCTTAATCAACGATGGAAATCTGACAATTAATTTTTAATTTACCTAAATCTATAAAATATCTTTAATTCAATTGTTTATTTGATCAATTTCATATTTTACTTAGAATACAAAAATTAACCCATCTAAACTATGTTAATTGATTAACAGCTAAGGTCCATCACAGCATTTAAATTGTTAACGTCAAATCCAAAACTCTTACACAATATAAGCCAATTAAGTCATAAAATGCCAAAAGTATTAATAAGAGTAAAAAAGAAAAGAAAACAAGAAAGCAGGTATCATCATAGTTTCGTTGATTGATTGATTACATCATCAAAGTATGGTTTATTATAAAGCAAAAGATAAAAGCTCTACACAGAGGAGCATTCTAGAGTCATGGTTTAGCATATACAATCCTCACTTCCACTTCTTGAACCCACCACCATGCTTTCCAAACTTTCCATGCTTTCCATGCTTGAACTTACCATGTTTTCCATGCTTGAACTTGCCATGTCCATGCTGCTTGAACTTCCCGTGGGGCATGTGAGCACCATGTGCATAGTGACCATGAGAGCCATGAGAGACATGGTGAGCACCGTAGGCAGCACCAGCAGCGGCAACACCCCCAGCAAGCATTGCTCCCATACCGCCATGCCCGTGCCCATGTTGCCCTGCTCACATAAATACACAAGTTCATTGAAAACTTCCAAGGACAGCAAAAATGGTCTCAACCAGCACAAAACTTCTCCAATAGCCAATGCAGTAATCAAATTACAATTGAAGATAACTTCAAAAAGCTTGAAATACAGTAATAAACAGCCAAACCATACATTAAATAAAAAAGTTTCTCAATTAGTGTTTAAAATCCAAACAAGAAGACACTCACACTTTATTTAAACGACCAAACTAAGTATTTCTCAACCCATGAGTTTGCTTCTTAGCCTAACAATCAGTAACTTTGTATGGATATGTCTCTTTTGTTTTAGAGAAGATATATCAAAGTAAGAAAAAAGAATGTAATCTACCCTTCATTTAAAGTAAGTTAAATTTAGGTGACTCTTGGATTAAAAATCGATAGTAAGTATATTTGATGGTGGAATATGCAATTTAGAAGACAGAAAGTAAGTATATCCTTACTTTTTCACTTAAAACATGGTAGAACATTCATATTTGAGGGTGGAATATGTTACTCTAAAAGACAC